GGACTGGATGGGAGTATTTTTAGGAGGGACTTAGTTTTTCTCAGTATCACCATGTACAAAGTATCTCTGGAACCCTGTTTATTTTCTGTTCTGTGATAGTGTTAAAGGAATACCTGGTCTATGAAGCTGACTACATATTTCCATTTAGTTTTCAAGGTGGAGAATGCATCACAGATTTATATCCACTTATTGATTTCATGACATAACACCATCAGACAGGAGTAACATTATCTCTTTATCTTTCCCCTGTTGGGAAGATATAACTACAGAGAGACTTTAATGTCTGTTATAGCAACCTTCTTAGACACAAGAATAAATCTGTCCTAGGAAATTTATGTAGGTACCATATTAATATAATATTGTTCAAGTCTGTACTTAATAATGTATGTAACTTTGTTTTCAGTATAATTGAAAATGGAGAAGAAAACTGCAAATCATACATTGAAGCTCACAAACAGTGTATGAGAAAAATGGGTTTTAATATCTGAGATGACTTCAGCACATATACCCTTCAACTGGAAGATCTACTACTTCTTAGTTATAGTACCTGTAAAAGTATTCCAGCTGCAGCTGGGAAAAGGAGAGTTAAAATTGAGACTGAAGCAGAATCGTTAGTGTCTCACAGAGTTAAGGCTGTGTAAATTATGTTACTTACCAATTGTATAAATATTTATGTATTGAATTTGTAATTATTCAGGCTTGTTTTAAGCTGTCTGAATAGGACTAAGTGTATTTAACAAAACAGCATTTAGTCTTCAGAAACAGTGGTTGTACTTTACATTGACTAATACTTTAGTATTGCAGTGCTTTTACTTTAAAATATACTGTGTGACAAGGGGAACAGAGTTAACGTCAAAATTATTGCAGTATATATATACCCGAAAGCTTACACCCATCAACATCCTGTGTCAACTATGAAAACTTCCACATAAGAACTAAAGCAAAAACGTTTTGACATTGTATTGGAAATCTGTAAAAGCTCTTCTCATGTAACTGGTTTACCCCATTCCCCAAACATGCTGTATAACAGGGAGCATGCTGTATTTCAGAGAAAATGTACTAACTGATTTTGCTGTGGTAACCATTTGCAGCTAAGCTAAAATACTGTAGTTTTGTTTCTGATGTGGGCTGTGTTATGATAGTAAATTTTTATGCCACATCTTTGCAAATTCTGGTTTTATGTATTGGCAGTTTCACAGTAGAATCTCACCCTTAGTCCTGGGTGATGTCAAACATAGTAGATATATTAAAAGTGAATTTTCTACACTGTATTTCATGTAAGAGGATCCAAATTACCTTGCAAATGACATCAGGCTACAGTGAATTTAAATGGCATAGCAAAGGGTTCAGTAGTAAGTACTGTGTTTTGAGTGAATACTCTAATTGCTGTTGACGGGATGCTGTATTTTATAGTTGTAATTAAACTGTGAAGCGTGTATATAAATGATTGCAGATAAACCATTTCCTATTATCACATGTCAGATTTATAATTTATGATCAGTAAGCATCAAATTCGCCAGTCACAGTAGCCGAGCGGTCTAAGGCATGCACTGTCTTCACTCGCTCGGAAGCCGGGATCGTGGGTTCGAATCCCACTCAGGGCATGGATGTTTGTGTGCGTTTTTCTGTGTTTGTCTACAGGTAGAGGCCTTGCGACGAGCTGATCACTCGCCCAAGGAGTCCTACCGTATGTGTAAGATCTAGAAAAACCAAAGTGAACGGAGTTCATGGAGGTAGGCCTAGGCCTACTGGGGCTGTAGTTCAAAGAAAAAAAAAACCATCAGATTCACCGAATGGGTTGATCCAGAGGTAATGCTCTAAGATTTGTGTCCATTGGGTGTTCAGTACAAATCTTGACCAGAACACCAGCTTTCTTAACTGTGGTTTCCTCAGTCCCTGCATGCAAATGCTGTAATGATAACTCAGTTAGGTGATTACTCCTTCGTTCCAAAAAAATTCTTAATCATTCATCAGTCATCGCATCATCTGATGCTGTATAGTCTCAATACTGAAAGCGTTTTTAAATAACCAATAGGCGGGAGGGGGGAAATTAAATTTGTATGGGAACTGTGCTGGAAGAAAAATGTCATATCAGTTTTACAGCAGTTTTAACATCACTTTGCTCTGTGCTGTTAGCTATGGTTATTATCATCAGTGTAGTGCCAAGGTCTTAAGAATGGTTACTTTAATTTTCTCCTGATATCACGATTCTTAAAGACACATAATAGCTTTGTAATGCTGTATAAGGATTGTGATATTGCTGCTGACAGATTTCAAGCTGTGAGCGCAGTGAAGATTATTTGGAGTGAGTGGAAGTACACAAGATTCCAGTTTATGCCAGGATTAGATTTCTGGAAAAAAGATTTGATTGATGCATGTGCATGCTGAAAGTGACAGTTCTTGAGCCAGTATTTTATCCAAGGAAAGAGGTAAAATCACATGGCTCAAGATCAGGAGAATATGGAAGCACCACAGTACCCTGCACGAGAAGTTGCTGCTGCACAAGTGATTGATGTGCCGGGGCACTGCCATACATGTCATATGAAGGGTAACTAAACACAGATAATTTCAACAATGTAAGATGTGAACAGACAGAACCTGAACCTGAAAGATAAAATTAATGACCTTCAGATAAACAGTAAGAACAAATATATTGCAAATTTGTATAAAGGTATAAATAAATTTAAGAAAGGTAACAACAATCTACAATGATCTTGGTAAAACAAGAATGGTAATGTACTTGCAAGTTTCCTACATTTTTAATACTTGAGCTTTATAATTTGTACTATTCACTAAGATCAGATCAAGGAAGATGAGATGGGTGATCACACAGTATTCATTCATTCATCTGTAATCTGTCAAGACGATAGGTCCACAGTCTCTTCCAAAACAGTTCCTCCACTTCATGCGATCTAGAGCTTTCTCCTTAAAATGAAAATATCCTCTTCTGTCCCCAAGGTCATCCAGCATCTTCTTACATCTTCTTGTCACTTCTATCCGCCCCTCTGTCTTTCCTTCAATAACTTCTTTTAGAAGGCAGTTACCGCGTAAGATATGACCAATCCAATTAGCCTTCCGTTTTCTTATTTTGTGTATGATATTCCTCTGCTCACTGACTCTAAATAATACTTCTTCATTTCTCACATAATCGGTCCAACTGATCTTCATCCTTCTCCAACACCAGATTTCAAAGCTTTCCAGGTGTTTCTGATCTACTGCCCGAAGTGTCCAAGTTTCAGCCCCATACAATGCGATGCTCCAAACATAGCATTTCACTAGTTTTTTTTCTCAAATTTAAGTCCAATTTGCTGGTAAAAAGATTCTTCTTGCTAAATGCAGCTTTTGCCATGGCAATCCTAGATTTAATTTCACACGTACACCTTCCATCATCTGTTAACACGCTACCCAAATATTTAAAACATTTCACATTCTCCTAGAAATTAGAAATGCAAAAATTTGGTAGAAAACCTGCAGAGATCACTAGAGAGATCCAGGCGAAGGTGGGAGGATAACATTAAAATGGGTATTAAGACTGAGGGACTGAATTTCATATGGCTCAGAATAGGGCACAGTGTCAGGCTCTTGCAAAGTTGGTACTGAACCCTTATAATTTGCTGTGACTACAGTATGTCTGAAAAGGTATAAGAGGTTCCATTCCTTCATTATGGAATCACATACGTTTTTTTAACATTGACACAGCATCAATTATGAAGGAAGGTTACACAACACATGGCCTGCACCTCAGCTCTCGAGGCAAGAGGCTCACACAGCTTATTGCTGAGAGGGTTGTTGGTGGTCATGTGTCGGGTATAAGCAGTATTCCTGTTATAACCAATGCTAGGGCCAGTGGCATGCGGTACTATTTTTGGTAAGGGAAGCAGTGGTATCTAATAAACAAACTGATAGCAATCAACTCACCAAAATTTATGTCACTTATTGAGTCACTAAGGTCGTTTTGTATTCTGTTTGATAAATCTGTAAATACTGTACTGTTATCAATATGAACATTGAGTTTATGATCATATTTCCTCAACAAGTGAACTAATTCCACATAATTACCTCGGTCAATAGAATCCATGCTTTTCTCATGACCACAGAGGCCAAGTTGCCACTTTCCTAAATGGCAGTTGATATCAACCAAGCATTTCATTTTTTCTCTATTTTCTTTCACATTTTCATTCTGCTGTAGTATTGTCAGGTGCTTTTGATTGTCAAGTTGACAGTCAATTCGAGATTTCCTGAACATAAGTTGAATTGTTGATATCACCAAACCCAGTCTTGTTCCATACATTTTTCATTGAGAAACAACAGGCATGGCCAACAAAACAATTTTCGTATATTACGGCAACCAGATAGCTACTCTGTTTTAGAATACTGTTCCAAATTAAATTTCCTCAAACATAATTTGGTTTGCGCTTTAAGTTCTGGCAACTCTCATGTTGGTTGTCCTCTTTCTATAATTATTCTCTTTTCAGAAAAGTCCCTGCTATTAAACTCCCATTTTAAAAGGCTTTCGATTGCACAGTCGCAGTCACGCCTGCCAGCATTCATTTTAGCTGTGCCTGTGCATGTAGTCTAATCACACCTCTGCCCCTCGTACCACAATATTAGACTTGCTTCCCTTAAATGCGAATAGCTTCTTTCTGATGTGTCAAAATACGATCACAAATACAATCTTATGCCATATAAATATGCACTTAGAATATTTTAATAAAACTTAATGTTACCTATAACACCCAACAAGACTGAAATCACACATAAACAGTTAATTTTCATGTAACCATCAAAAGAACTCATTCCTTCGCTGGTCTAGCCAGCAAACCGAAATTTGCTTCCGTTGGTCACTTTGGATAGGACGAATTTGTACGGAGATTAATGAAGGAAACTTGGTCCGTCCCACCAAGCAGGGAAAGGGAGGAGGAGGAGGCGGTGGCATGTGGCCTTGAACAGGAACATGCGCTAAATGACAATATTCAGATCCTTATTATTCAAATTGAATTATTTATATATGACTACTTGACTACTTTTCTTTTTGTTTCTTAACTATGGAAGCAATGCTTCCCTTGCTTCCATGCATGGCACACCACTGGCTAGGGCATCTTCTTTTTTAGATTAAATTCAAAAGCACCAAGATGCCTATCATATATTAAATGCAGTCCAGCAGTCTTGGAAATTCACAGACAAAATGCAGAAACATTAAATTCAGTAAATATCTTTCACCAAAATATCAGAGGCTTGAGAAGCAAAAGTGATGAATTACTACACTCTTTTGAAATAGAAAACATAAACCCTCACATATTGTGTTTAAGTGAACATCACATGGTTGAACAGGAATTGCTGCTCCTCTCAATGGTTACCTGTTAGGCTCACGCTTTTGCTGAAAGAGCCTACAGAGGGAAGGAGTGTGTATTTTTGCTAAGACAGATCTACATTTCAGTAAAATTGATAAGGAGCAAGACTCTGAAATCTGTGCAATACACCTAGTAACTAAAACATCTCACCTAATTATATTAAGCCTGTACAGAGCCCCTTCAGGAGAGGTTAATGAATTTCTAAGGAGACTAGATGCAACTTTAAAATATCTACAATCCAATGAATGAATGAATGAATGTATAAGGGGTGGGCCTTCTTGGCCCTTGCACTGCAACCACAGTGATCCACAGTCTGAGTTTATAATCCGTGGAGACATAAACATAAACTATATAAATGAAAGCAGTCAGAAAAAACAAGTAAATTCTTTAATAGGGACATACAATCTGTCACACACAGTGAATTTTGCAACAAGAGTTCAAAATTCCTCAAGCATAGCCATTGATAATATCTTTATAGATAATGCAAGGTTAAGCTCTTCTTGTACATCTCCTATAGTCGGTGGCCTCTTTGACCATGATGCTCAATTTCTTACAGTACATAATATTGTGGAAGTAAATGCAACACCTTGAAACAGAGAACCAGAAAAATAAATAGTGATACCATTGTTCAATTTCAACATCTATTAGAAAATGAAATGTGGGAACCTGTTTTCAAAAATAAGGATAGAAAATTATAAGTTTAACTCTTTTTTTATATATTTTTTTTAAATATCTTCAAAACCAGTTTTCCTATGCAGAATAAAAAACCACTGGATTACACAAGGAATAAAAATATCTTGTAAACATAAAAGG